AGTAGGATTTGCGGCTAGATTCCCTCAAGGAATTTGAAGTTATTATTAAAGAGTCATAATAAGTTTTTCCTCTTCATAAATTCATATAAAAGATGTTGGAATCCTAGTTGACATGTCAGAGCTCAAATGATAATGTTTCTTTACTCATGGCCGATTTCTACAAAGAAAAGGATTCCTTTTTTTACTCAGATGTAACTGGAATTATCCATCTTCAACACAACTTTTACATCAAAAAATTTTTAATTAAAGGAAGCTAAATTTTCTCAAGCTAAAGAAAGCAAATTCGAGCATAAATCTTAAAGGATTCACCCACCATTCCAAGAGAGAAGAGTTTTACTTTATATTAATTTATGAGTCTTTAATACATTATTTTATTAGAGTCCTAGATAAGATTTTAGATGAGTACTATTAGAATTTAATTTTTCTAATTCTATTATAATTTTAAGTCATATGTCTATATAAAGGCCTCTCATTTTTTGTTGTAATCACATCAATTCAAATTAATAAAAATTTTAAATTTATCTTCAAGCCTTAATGAGGTTGTTTTGGAGAATTTTTTTCAACTGTCGTGTTGAGTGAAGAATTGATTCTATTTCTCGAGATAATCTCGTGGCATCTTATCAATTCTTATTCTTATTTTTAATTATCTTAATTTGCAATCACAAGTTGATTGTGAATTAAATATAGATAGTTTATTTAGGGATTTAAGTTTTGCAAGTTAAATTATAAGTGTGAGTTTTAGGCACTTGTTGATCCTAGGTTCCACATTAAAAAGTCAATTAAGGAAATCAATTACACGTATTATAATATATTATAATGATATTTCCTAATACTTGCCCTCAAGTTGGAGAGTGAATATTGGGAAGTCCTAACTTATCATGCAACGTCATAACTGATTCTTTCAAGAAACTTTTATAAAAACATCTACCAACTGGAAATGTGTAGGTACATAGGAAAGACCAATAATTTAGCTTGTAATTTTTCTTGAACTATATTGCAACCTATTTCAACATGTTTCAAACATTCATGGAAAGTAAAGTTAGCTACAACATATAGAGCTATTTGCTCATTAGAAAACAATGGTGTAGAAGCTATTTATCATAACTCAATATTTGGCCTCTGTTGATGATTTCGAAAAATCAATTTGTTTCTTAAATTTTCATAAAATGAGTGAATTCTTAAGTAAGATACAATATTTGTTAACTGATCTCCTTGTGACACAACAACCTCCCTAATTCGAATAACAAAAGGCTTTATAAGATTAATTATATAAG